AGTGAATAACCCCGAAAGTCTTAAAATCTATAATAAGGTATTTAATTAATAACTATTGTAACTATAGTGCAAAAATAGGATGGTTTGCATTAATATTAGACATAACTGGCTGAAGACTGTACCACCTCAGTCAACCGTGACCATGGGACCTGTAAAGGGCCCGAAACCTCGGTTTGTTTGAAAAAACAAATATACGCGATTTAAATCCGGAAAAATAGTTTCATTTCTTTGTAAGTAGTCATTCTTGAGGTTTATCGATACGTATTAAATTTCATTCCTATCACAAAACTATATTGGATTTGTCTTTTAGGATATTGATCCACAAAAGAAAGAAAAAGAAGTAGGTCCCAAAGCTGAAACCGATAATTCACATATACGTGTGACTGATATGCTTATATAGGAATAAAGCCTTGGGCAGGCTGGCGGCAGTTTGCGTTATCACAGCGATCAGGCTTCGTAGTAACTCAAAAGCCGGTCTGAATTTTAAGCTGAAAGCTCTAATCCTTTACATTCCTGAAAACCATTCCAAATAATTGAGAATCAGAGCTGTAAAACCAGGTAGCGTAGAGGCTGTAAAACTGAATGCCGACGTATAACTGCATTCAGACTCTCTATGAATAAACAACTAGTATTTTCATCTTCATTATTTGATTTTAATTTTGAGAAAATCCATGCCAAGCCATGAGCTGTAAAGGGCCCGAAATGTTGGTTTGTTTGAAAAATAGTTATTTGTTATGCAAGGCTTAAAAGTTTTTATTTAACGCGAGAGCTTGTATTGAAACCTAAGCGAGCGAACTCGCTTCGCTCGTGGTTCACCTCACTATAGCGAGAAAAATGATACATGAAAGAAAAACAGTTGAACTTGTCCATCGTCAGGTTCGAATTTCAAACACGCTTTTCCGCGCAGATTTCTAAGCGTTAATTCACATTGCGGATACGCTACGCTCGTTTTAATGAACGCGGCGCTGCATTAAAACGAGGAATGCAACATAAACTTTATCCTCTACAAAATACGGCAACATTTCATTATTCAAAATAATGAAAACTAAGCTGCATTAAGCGGCGGCGGGCTGCAGAGAATAGCGGCGGGCGCACTTTATAAAATGCAATATACTGTACATATTCTCCACTAAATAAAGTATACATGAGAAAGAAAGCCTTTCCGAGCTAGTGAGGTGAATACAAATAAACGCGATTTATATCGGAGAAACTAGTTTCAGATGAAAGTAGTTTTTTTTTTTTGAGTGTGTAATTTTTTAGTGACGTTGTAATTTTCTTATGAGGTATTTGGAAGCAAACACTACAAAAAAAATTAAAAATGCGTAGTATTGCTGGTATTTGATTCTTCTTTCTCTTTCGAAATCTTTTTTTTTAGTAAGTGAGTGCGCATTTGACCTCCATCTCACCAGATGGAAAGTAACGATGAGGTCGACGATGGAGCATGCACACCTTTACACCGTTACGTGCAAGTTATAACGTTCAGGGAACAAGTCTGCAGGCAGGAAATTCCACTCCATAGCCGTTCGCCATACAAATCAAAGCATAGCAATCTCTTGTACCCATACATATTTATGATTTAAAATTCATAATAGTCACGAACTGCTTGCTGTTTTTGTATGATTTTGTATGTTTCTGTTGATTTCTGTTTTTCAGCGGTGTCGTATTATATATTTTTTTGTGGTGAAATTTATGTTGCTCATTAGGAGTATTTGTTTATATCTCCCACTTTCCTCACTCAAATCTTACAATCCATGTCAATGAGGTCTATGCATGCATGAAAACAGATAAAAATCCGACGTTAGCCTGAACGTAGCCTTTTGTTGTATACTTTACTCCACTGTCTCCGAGTTGTAACTTCGTTGACGAGTATTGTCCGGAGACGTTTCCGAGGAAAAGTCGTCTAGAATACTCTGGTCTCTGCATTTGAATAACATTCTCAAAGCTTTCTATTTTTCTGGGAATATCAAATGCAAAGTTAATAGTTCAGTTGTTTGTCGGTTGTTTATAACTGTGGAATACTGTAGTGTTGTAAGAGAATATTTTCATTAATTTAGATTAATTATTTTTTTTGTTTAAAAAGACGCTGGCTTGACCACACCTTTGATAGCAGTACAGCTCCTTGCGATAGAGTTCGTCTAGGGAAGTACTGCCACTACCTATTTCAGCCGCCAAGCAGTAATGTTCACATTACTGCGTTCCGGTTTTGAAGGGTAAGGGTGCTGATGAAATTACAAGCATATGGGACTTATCAACTTATGTCGCAGAGTGACAGGCGTAGTAGCAGTGCCAAATCTTTGCAAATTAAAACTAAGCGACACACTGCAAATGTCATGGATAGCGTGTCGCTTACTACCACTTGTACGACTTGTTTGTCCGTCCCTGGGTACTATAAAAAAACCTGATGTTAAGCGGTGATGTGCTCCGACGATGGCACGCGTTAGTCTAAAAATGCCTATTAACTTTTAAGCCTAAATTAACCTTAAGGAAGTCACCAAAGTTATTAACGCAGAATCGACTTGAGTAGACCAGAAAAAGTTTTATACCCATTTACTTAGAATAATAGTTTCATATCAAACGAACTGTCACAAGTGAGGAAAAAATCAAATTCATGTAGGCTAGTTTTAGTAGTAGGTTAATTTTCGGTTTTAGTGTATATTTATATAGTAATACAAGTTGAAACGCATTACTTGCTTGTGGAATGTGATGTTAGTATCTATATTATGTTTGTCTGACGTATTTTTACACTCATATACCGCACATTCATTTTTAGCTAAAATTCTTGAGCTGTTCGCGGTGCAAGTTGGCCTTGAGCAATGACGGCCCACCCGCTCGTGTAGGCCCATTGGGAGCGCTTCAATTTACCTCACTTAGCGTGTGCGGACTAGGTTTCTATGCGTTATTATTCTAAGCCCATTTAGTAAGAGCCAATAAGACGTGTTTCGCTCCCGCTTGGAACGTTCCACCGCGAAACGCACGCAATCTTTTTAGCTCTTGTTTCATGAACCTAAAGCCAATCCTGACCAGTTTAATGCGACTCTGTGTCGATGGGTGTAGTGATTCCATAAATTGTACTTTTTGGGAAGCAGGTGCCAGTATTGTACTTCATTCATTAGCAGTAGGCATAGCATTAGAGCTCCTTGTAAAAGGGATCGTCCAGGGCAGTATTGCCATCTTACCTATTTACACCGCCAAGCAGTAATGTAACATTATACGTTTCGGTTTTGAAGGGTAAGTGCGTTAGCGCACTCAGCACTCGGATCCACTTCGGATGTCGCTTGTGCACTAAGTCCCATTCGAATCCGAAAAAAGTCGAATAGGTACACCACCTAGAAATAAAATGACACTTCGACATGTTTGACGTTTCGGACCATTGACTTACAATTATATGGACGTCGGGTCCGCGCTAAAAAGTGTCCGAACTTATAGGGCGTTAAAATCGTTACAGAGCATCATTCACGCTTTAGTCTTCGTTTGTTCGACTGACAGCGAAGCAAGCAAAATTAGACAGTACTGCGATGACATTACAATTTAAATCTAACGCTTTAGCTTTTTCATATTCCTTTACATGTCACTACGTTTAAATAGGTTGACTTGGGACATTTTTTTCGTGGTTTTTGTATTAGACCCGTCGTCCATTTATTTGTAAGTCAATGTTTCGGACCGTCATTTTCTCGGATTTGGACGTAGTTCTAGCACCTCTGTGGTTCTCGGAACTTATGTGCGAAATTTAATTTTACTACGAGCTTTCCGGTGAAGGAAAACATAGGTAGAAACCTTTTTTAACCGACTTCAAAAAAGGAGGAGTTTCTCAATTCGACTCTACTTTTTTGTGTGTATGTTATGCAATGCAGGCGTTTGTGAACCGTTTGATGATTTTTTCTTGTTGGATAAAGGGTAGAGTAGGGTGCTCCCATTTAATTATTGTTTCTTTCTTCAAATTTTGAAGGAAATATTTCACCTGGTGACAAACTAGGGAATGAATACGGTTTCGCGCACTTTGCGATAACCGATTTCAATAAAATTTTGGCAAATAAATGTAATTCCATGGACTTTTGAGGTCGATACAAACCTACACAATCAGTATATTTTTTATTATCGCATTGGTATTTGGTATATTGTATCGTTTTTTGTGTAATAAGGCTCAACAGCAACTGACGCAGAGTCGAAGCGTCGCGTCGCATCCTGTTTTTCAACTACAACGCTTCAGATCACAGTGTGGTCGGCGTCGGACGCCTTACTGTGCGCAAGGAACACACGGCGACACGCAAAAACGCTCGACTTTAACCAGGCGACTATATTTGCATAACACAAATTTCTACCTTAAATCTTGGGAAAATAGAGATGAATATGCTGTAGGCGAAAAACATGACGCGTAGCGACGCTTCGACTCTGTGCAAGTGTAAGTTGAGCCTAGTTTTACTATGCCATTGGAAGGTTTGCAGATATTTATACGTAGCACAGGTTCTCCTTTTTTAAGTACGTTTTTAAGCTGTCATATCGCACTGCTATTACAATAGTGGTCTAACTCAAAAAGAGGACTTTCTCAGAATCGATGAAAAACGAATTACTCACTTCCCGCAAAAAAATCATTAAAATTTATATGTTATAGTTTATTATAGACACTTAAACAATTTATCAAATATATTTAACAATAAAATGGAAAAAATAATTTCATGTTTTTCAATACGGATTATTTTGGCTAGAACTAGCTCACATAAAGCGTCCATGTGTCTCATTTTGAGTTAAGTAGATGTCTTTTGATTGTTTCTTACAATATTTTAACGACAGTTGTTTTGAAGTGTAGAGAATCAAGTTTTATGTTCAGTAATGATATAATATTAAATTTCACACATTTTGAGTTACAACACTATTGTAATGGCAGTGCGATATATTCAGATTTTTTCGCTAATTTCTTGCTTATTATTAAACAAATAAAATTATATTATTCTCATACTTTTTATCATATTTAATTAAATAGCACTGTTTTTTTGTTTTCACAGCTAATCTGCGAGGAAGCCTTGCTCCTCTCCGCCACCGGCATTGGTCTGTATTACAGAGCTCTTACTGAAAGAGCCCATCGGAACACTTTCGCCGGCACCAGAACCTGTCTGGAGCAAAGAGTGAAGCTCGAATGTGAGAGCGAACAGCAGGAGAGATTGTTGCTGTCCGTCATACCGGCTTACATTGCTGCTGAGGTACGTGACTGCTTATGATATAATACAATAACTGCCTCCGTGGCCGAATGGTTACCAAGCTGGGCTGCACAGAGGTCCCGGGTTCGTTAATTCCCGGGTCGGGAGAAATATTTGTATGGCGTACATTTATTTTTCTCGAGAGTTTGGATATAATTATACTACGATAGGATATAAGTATTACTACGCAGCGTCACCGTCCATGCGTCGCAACTCTGACGAAGCTCATAGTGCGGCATCGTTCTATCTGAGAAAAAAGCTGATGATCTTATTAAATTATCGTAATTTTTAACCGACTTCAAAAAAGGAGGAGGCTCAATTCGACTGTATGTTCTTTTTTTTGTATGTATGTTACGCGATAACTCCGGTATTTGTGAACCGATTTTCATGATTCTTTTTTTGTTGGAAAGGGGGTATTTCCATAGTGATCCCATTTCATTTTGAAGAAAATTATCCACCTCAAAGGATGGCTGTTCACGCATGAAGATTCATTTTTATAAATAGCGCCTAACTTTAATTTAGGAGCAATTACTTTTAGCAATTATTTAGTTGATTTTGCTATTTCTCCAATTCAAGGCTTTTTTCTCTCGATATACTTTGAGCAGTGTCGTAGTGAGAACCTATTTTTATTATCTCCAGTATCAAGTCCTGTATAGTGGCGAACTAGGGGATATTTCAATGAAACTTAACAAATAGACGTAATTCCACGTACTTTTGAAGTCGGTTTTTTTAGTACTCTGTACTGAGATTATTAAACTTATTGAATGTCACGACGTTTTTTTTAATTATTTTGTGTGAAATTACTCCACTAGTTTCTTATAATTATTACAACAAAGCTCGAAACTTTATGAAAATTAATTCGATCCGGCTGGATTCGACCCAGCACCCTCAAGCAAACCGTGCCAGATGCCAAAATTCATAAGCAGCTTGATTTTGATTGCCTCTCCCGATCGGAAACTGCGACTTTCCCGAGTCGAGGCGCTTAATTGCGATTCACAACTGGCCATCGGAAACATTTCTAATCGGAACAATAGTCGATTTAACTCACAAATTAGAAAGATATAGTAGGAATCGGGTTCATCTTCTCGCTCAGAAACTTGGCTTGCCTTGGACACTTACCATCACCGTCAACGTAGTTTCCGACATTCAGACACCTTTGTATGGAATAATATTATTGGATTCTCAAAGATATAATTGATTTATTGTAAATGTGCACTTTTTTAAATAAACTTTGACCAACTGAGCCAGGCGACTCTTGACGCGCAGGCGCAGTTCCCATCTGCGGAGATGGTCGTGTTGGGGGACTTTAATGCTCACCATGAATCATGGCTAAGTTCCCTCAAGACTGACCATGCAGGAAGAACTGCCCACGCTTTCGCTCTCACGCATGACTTGACCCAACTGGTAACCCAGCCCACCCGGGTTCCAGACATATCGGATCATGCACCCTCTTTGCTTGACCTTCTGCTCGCGAGTCACCCTACCTACTATACAGTATCAGTCAGCGCCCCCCTGGGAAGTTCTGATCACTGTTTGGTTGGGTGTAAGGTTTCCCAAATGCCTCCAACTAAGCTGAAGGAGGTCACTCGTCGCATTTGGCACTACTCGTCGGCGGATTGGGATGGTATGCGCGACTACTTTGCGTCCATCCCTTGGTTGCAGCACTGCTTTGCGGGAAAGGATGCCTCAGCAGCTGCCGATGCTGTTGTCGATGAGATTGGAACGGCTATGGATTACTACATACCGTCTTCCAGTGTCATCGCCAATCGCAGAGGACGCCCATGGTTCAATCGCGAATGCATGGACGCTGTTAGTGAGAAACAGGCTGCATATCGTGGTTGGATCAGGGGTCGTGTAACAAAGGATCCCAACCTTGCGTCCCTTAAAGCAGCCTATAACAAAGCAACCAAGTCTTGCAGGAGGGCTTACATAAGAGCGGATGCCCAGCGCATTTCACGGATTGGCCAGAAGCTGGTAGCCCATCCCACCGGTAGCCGTGCCTACTGGAGCCTGGCCAAAGCCGTGCAGTCCAATTTTTGTCGTTCGTCGCTGCCGCCTTTGAGGTATCCCAATGGATTTTTGGCCTATGGCCCCGAAGAGAAAGCCAATTTATTGGCCGACCTTTTTGGGGCTAACTCGCGCATTCACGACCAAGATGCGCAACCGCCGTCAATTCCCCACTGCGGAGTCACAATGCCTGATATAGTTATCAGACAATGTGATGTCCGCAAGGAATTGCAGACTCTTGACGTGCGGAAAGCCTATGGTCCGGATGGGATACCTCCTATCGTCCTTAAAAGGTGTGCGGCGGAGTTGTCTCCCGTACTGGCGCGCTTATACCGCCTCTCATACCAATCTGGTAACGTGCCCCTAGCTTGGAGGTAGGCCAACGTGCAACCTATCCCCAAGAATGGAGATCGGTCTGATCCGACAAACTATCGCCCAATAGCTGTCACTTCAGTGCTCTGCAAAGTGATGGAGCGGATTCTAAATATCCAGATAATCCGGCACCTGGAACGTCACTCCATTCTTAATGATCGGCAGTATGGGTTTCGGCCGAACCGATCAACGGGTGACGTTCTAGCGTATCTAATGCATCTCTGGGGTGAAGCTATCGACAAACAGGGCGAAACCTTAGCGATAAGTCTGGATATTGCTAAGGCCTTTGATCGGGTCTGGCACCGTGGTCTCCTCTCCAAGCTTCCGGCATATGGTCTTCCCGGCCGCCTTTGTGAGTGGATCTCCGGCTTTCTGCGCGAGCGAAGATAGCGTGTCCTTGTTGACGGAGGCACTTCGCGGCTCGTGACAGTTAATGCTGGGGTGCCACAGGGCTCTGTGCTGTCGCCCACGCTGTTCCTTCTGCATATCGACGACTTGTTGCCTTTTGGCAACATTCATTGCTATGCAGATGATAGTTGTGCTCAGTGCACGGTTGCTATTATAAGCAATCGTCAAGCACCCGGGAGGACCCTGAGAGAAACCGGGAAAAACTTGTCGCTGAGCTCAACCATGTTTTGGAACATATATTGTCGTGGGGCTCCCGAAACTTGGTTGAGTTCAACGCCAAGAAAACCCAGGTATGCGCGTTCAGCTCCAAAAAATCCCCATTCCTTCCACTTCCTCATCTTCAGGGTACAACGCTGACGCTGCAGGACAAGCTCAGTCTCTTGGGGATGAGCATCCGGAAGGACATGAGCAACAAAGATTATATCGAGAGCGTCATCTGTACCGCGTCGCGCAAGCTTGGCATCCTGAACAAGGTGCACCGATTTTTTACTCCAGAGCTGCGATACCTGTTGTACAAAGCTCAGGTCCGAAGCAGCATGGAGTACTATTCGCACCTTTGGGACGGCTCTGCCAAGTACTTGCTCGATGCCCTAGATGGACTGCAGCGCTACGCCTTCCGTGTTGTAAACGATACTCATGTAACTGAGCATGCGGAGTCGTTACAGCTTCGCAGAGATATAGCGTCTCTTAGCGTATTCTATCGCCTGTACCACGGTGAGTGCTCTGAAGAGTTATTCAACCTTATCCCTTCCTCTCCTTTCCATCAGCGGACCACACGTGCCGGACTGCGTTGCCACAGTTGGACGGTCGGTTCAATACCGTCCCGCACTAAAAAGTTTGGCAATTCGTTTGTATTCCCTCCCCTCTATAACATCGGGTCCTTCAAACGTAGTGTGAAGAAGCATTTGGCCAGACCGGCAAAATGATAGTGACGGAGTGAAGATATTTGTGTTTTCCATCCGTTACTCTCATCTCTGGACTGTATTCGCACTTTCCAGCGCGGTGCAGTCATTTTGCCGAGTCACAATGAAAAAAAAAAAAACAACGATTTTTTTTATAATTGATATACATATTAACTGTTCCGTCTATATTAGTTGATCTATGGATAAATTAAAAATGAACTGCATTCAAGGTAACACTATCGTTATGTTTAAGCATACTAAATTAATATTTGATAGTTAAAAATAATATTTGATGCCCTTTTATCATATAGGTGAAATCTTGGTTGCGCCCACCACTCAGTAGGTTAGGTTAGCATATCTTGAAAAAGCAGCACGAGCTGAGCGAGCGAAGTGAGCGAACAGCGGCAGCGATCGGCGAGTGCCAGAAACGAATTTTCAATCTATCAATGTAGATTTTTTTATAAATCAAACATCAGCTTAGAACAGATTAAAATATATATCGACCCCTCCTACGTAAAGTATCGTATGTCGAAATTGCCAAGTTTACAGGGGAGCGTTTTAAAGTTCACCGTTTTGTTTGGCAAAACCTCCTTACTGACATAGAGTTATCATCTAGTAGATCATCTAACCGATATCTAGGATTTAACAATACTCTATGCGAGTAACAAGCTTTGCCGAATAAAACTGAGAAATGCTAAAGTCACGTGTTATGCTCATTGCAGTGAATTGAAAACTTTAAAACGCTTCCCTGTAAACTTGGCAATTTCGACATACGATACTTTACGTAGGAGGGGTCGAATTGATTTAATTTATTATAAGTTTCAGAGAAAAACGATAAATAAGTAAAAAAGATGACCGTTTACATTTTTTGCCTGCTGCTTTTGCAAATTTAAAATGATCATTATTATGATAATAACACTTTTTATTCATCACACAATCTTTAAAAAAGCAGTTTGCTCGCTCCTTGTTCACCAGTTGTCTGAAATGTCGAGAGAAGAATAAAAAATCATATTGTTATGGTAAGAAATCTGTAAGTATTGATAACCGTTTTGTGAATAACTGCGGAAGGCGACGTTACGACGGTTAATATCGTTTTGGTTGACCATATGTCTACTTGCTGGTTCGCGTACTATAAAAAAATTGATAAGTTCCACTGTATAGAATTCTATACAGTGGAACTTATCGCTATACGAACTTCATAATATAGTTCATATTTTCAATCGTCAAAAAGTCGTCTACGACTTAATCTTACTCAAAGATCACCACAACGACAGATCTTGCGCTGCTTGTATGCAGCGGACTCCTGGGTCCACA